AAAAAAAAAAAAAAAAAAAAAATATCATTGTACTGGATTGCAAGTATCTTACATTTTGGGTCTTTAATTTCTAATAATTTAGAACAAATGCTTATAACTTTTTAGTTAGAAATAGTTAGAACTTTTAGTTTTCTAGTTGGTGTTGAATTGTTGATAATAGAAAAAGAGAAAAGGATCAAATAAGGCCTTCTACTATTATGAAATAGTCACATAAGGTCATGTACTCAATAAAATGTCATATAAGTACCTCTACTTGTAAAAAGCAATCAAATGGGTCCTAATGACCTATTTAACACCTCTTAATCTCGGTTTTAGCATACTTCTGACCATCTTTTTAGAATAGATTATACGACATACGTCGAATATTTAACTAAGATTGGTTGAAATACAAGTCAAAAAAATCGACATGTAAGCTAAAACCGGGATTAGGAGGCTGTAAATAGATCGTTATGACTCATTTGATTGTTTTTTACAAGTAGAAGTACTTATATGACACTTTATTGAGTACATGGCCTTATGTGACTATTTCATAATAGTAGAAGGCCTTATTTGACCCTTTTCTCATAGAAAAACTGTCCAAACCCCAAAGTCCCAAACTAAGGGTATCGAGGATGATGACCCACCCTGGGTAGTTTGTGTCAATTGTGATTGTGGACGAAGAGGATTGATGAGTGGCGGAGCATGTGCTAGGAATTTGCTTTAGAACTGTGCGCGACCCACTTCTTGATAGGCCTATGTGCCCAAGTCCATGGATCACATGGGGTATCAAACTTATTCAGTGCAGCTCAGCTGTTACCGAATATGGGATTCCAAATGGTCTACTTTTTGGGTTTATCACATCAAAGAAAAATGATTAATTATTTTTTGAACAATTTAGATATTTTAACAAGTTTACATACCTGCATATTTCTATCACAATATTAAGACAAATAATTTTCAAATTGTTATTTTGTACCAGGAGGGGGTTGTGCGCAGAGGAATTATAATATAAGAAAATTTGACACTTTTTTAAATCAAAAGTTAACGCGTCGAATTTATATACGGAGTACATAATGTCCTAATGGGGTTTGTTGCATTATTACACCTGCTTTTTTTTAGGATTGAGTGATCCCGACATTGCCTGATTAATTTTGGGTTCCTAAGAAATTATCTAAGACCTTGAGACATGCAAATCATAATCACTACAACAATTCCTTGGATTCTCACCGAGACACCATTATATATACACTATCACACACACAAGAAATTGTTCTTAATTAATTGATTGCGCATGACCGACCTCAGATTCCCATCATAGCTCACTGGGAGCATTGCCATCGATTGGTCAAACACAACCAGACTCTTAGCAACAAGCTAACTTCAACACTGGCGCTTGAGAAAAGAAGAAATAACGATTGCGTCAGAACTCGAGCTAGCCCCGAGAGGCTAGATGATTATCATTTTAAAAAAATCCTCTCAAATTCCGGTTACTTGAACAGAAAAACTTCCCACACATTTACTTGGGCATTTACTCCACTCTCATACCTAGGGGTGTGAAAAGCCGAACTGAAACCCGGAAATCAATCCCGTCCCGACCCGAATGATGTTCGCGGTCCGAGTTTTTTCTATTTAACCGACCGACTAAAAAACCCCGGACTGAACCTGAAAATTTGGGCTCATAAATGGGCCTTAAAATCTATAACCCGGTCTGGACCGATTAAATATGACTTATTAACTTTTAGTGATCACAAATATATTCAATTCGTTTACCATTGTTGAAGTTTATTCCTCCATGTCCAAAGGCTCAACACGTTCCTTTGGATTGTCGTTGGAATGTAAGGGTCAAGATGCATAAGGTGTGAATAATGATCAATAAAAAGAGACAATTAATCAATTGTATTGAGATAAATATACTGATTTACACGGAAATGGCCGAACGGGTGCTTCGTGAATAGAAAACTAATACTCTCCCCGTCCCGCAAAATAGTTCCCAATTTCCTTTTTGGGCTGTCCAAAAAAATAGTTCCCATTTTCCTTTTTGGAAAGTTTTGTGTGGCTCACATTCATTTACATTTTTCTTACTAAACCACAACCACACATTTCTACTTTATTCCCACTTTCTTAAACTCCGATCCAAGTCAATACGAGAACTATTTTGTGGGGCTGAGAAAGTACAAGAGATAAAATCAAAAATATTGTTGTGAGTACCAATTTGTTAACTCCTTAGAATGAAATAAATGCTGATATTTATACTATGGATGAGTAGTTGGGGGGGGGATTCGGAGTGGATGACTCTCAATCATAAAATCTTTCATATCTCTTGCACTAAATGCGCTTCCCGCCAGGAATGATGCTTCCCGCCAATTCTCTCTTTGGCTGATCCTCCATGGCTAGCCCCCCTTGGTGTGGTAAAAGGCCAAGTAGGGTGTTTAGGCCGTTCGGCAGTGGCTATTCGGCAGGTACCATACGACCTTCCCCGTGCGTGCTCCCTATCTGTTGGACCTGGCCTTTTAGTGATATTTTGGGCCTGTACTTGGGCCGGACGCTAATATCCCAACAACCGTAATGATCATGAAAATATATTTATAGTAAGTCTATTCACATTTTTATTCATAAGTTTTATTTCACAATATTTTCAGAAAACCTATACTATTTATTTATATGCGTCTTAAACAAAATATTAAGATAATTATCTTCTTTGGTGATTTTGGAGACTTATATTTGTGTTATTATTTGTAATTTGTATTTTTAGTTAACTTTATTTGAAAATACGGAGTAGGTTTTAAAGTAGAAATAATCACATATTTATGACTAAAATATAACTTGTCTACAAAAATGTGATTAGTGACTAGAGTAGTAATGAAATTATAGTAACTTATGTTCATTTTTTATACTTAAGTTACCATGACAAATCATTGTAGTAACTAATAGTCATATTTTGTAAATATGTTTTACTTTGATAATATTTGTGAAAGAAACCCTTAAAAGTATTAAGTATAAAAGGATAATGAGATGATTTCACGTTCGGGCTTTGACCGGCCCAACCTGAACCCGGACTGCCAAAACCTGACTCGGACCGAATATAATGGGTTTTTTCCTGCCACAAATATTCATAACCCGAGATTTATCGGGTAATTTCCGTGTTTAACAAAAAACCCGACCCAGATCGGACCGATCCCAACCCTACTAATATCCCTAGATGTCATATATTTGATGAGAAGGTTATGACTTGATAAAAAAAATCATCAATTTGTGAGGATTTTAATGGCCAATATCTGCTTAAACAAGCATAATACAAATTAGGCTAAAGGGTCAAATAGGTCGTTGAACTAGCTTAAAATGTTCAATTAGCCCCTTATACAGGAGGTTCAGCCCGGTCATCGCCAATTGGGGAGGTTCCCAATGGAATTTTTTAATAAATTTTTTGAGCATCTTTTTCATTAAGTCTAGTTTATCCATATCAAATTTCAGTTAAAAATTAAATCGGGAAGGCAGTCAAATGATTTTCCGAAATGTACCGCGCTGTTTAACTGCGCAGTTATCTTCAAAAAATCATTTGACCGCCTTCGCGGTTGAATTTTTAGCTGAAATTTGGTATGAGTAAACTAGACTTAATGTAGAAGATGCTAAAAAATTTTATCAAAACATTCCACCGAGAACCTCCCCAATTGGTGATGGCCGGGCTGAACCTCCTATATAAGAGGCTAATTGAACACTTTAAGCTAGTTCAAGGGCCCATTTGACTCTTTAGCCTACAAATTAAATGGATATTCCTTACTCCTTGATCAAAAGATCATCAATTTGTGAGGATTTTAATGGCCAATACTACTAAAAGTGCTAATGTCCTTTATTGGCGGGATCCGTCCATTGTACAACCGGCTGTACGGTGCTCACCGTACAGCTGGTGACATTTTTGTAATATAATGTAAAAACCGTGGTTTCTGCTAAGTGATCATTTGTGTACTGTTAATGAGCAAGAATCCAATGTTAATGAGTATTAAGAGTCTAATTATGAACGTCGTGTTATTAAAAGAAAGCTGATATCACAACTAAAAAAACGGTGGCATTTTTGTAATTTACATGAAATTCGCGTCTTGTACTAAATGAACATTAAAACACGTCTAGTGAGCATGCGACATATTTTGTTGAGCATTACACGCATAACAATGAGCATCGTGATCTCTGTTTCACCTCTTCTAATTTACTTTTTTTTCCTTATTTTTTTTCTAAACTTTTGAAATATGCATTGTTATGCCATTTTACAAATGAGCATAACATGAATAGCCGTTGATTATACATAACTTATAAAGTGAGAATTGGTATTTAACATGTGCAACCTTTTAAAATGAGCATAAAACAGTAATAAATGAGCATACATAACTTACAAAATGAGTATCAAAATATTAAAAAACTCATTTGTGTGTGCTCATTCATTTTGGGCGTTATAATCATTTGAGTTTTACGTAAAACTCATTTTGAAATATGCATGAATATGACATTTTAAAATGAGTATTGCACTAATATCAAATGAGTATACATTAATTACGCAATGAGCATTCAAAAAACTCATTTAAAATGTCTACTATGCTCATATTTTCATTTGTTATGCTCATATCATAAATGAGCGAACTCCCTCACCAAACTTGGGTAAGAAAAAGAGAAAAAAGAAGAGTCCAGGGCAAGAAAGAGGGAGAAGAAACAATTAGGGCTATACACCAGGTGGAGCCGCCACAGAAGGCGCAACTGGAGTTGGAGGTGTTGAGCTCGTGCTGGAGGGTCGTGGCTGTCGAGAATTGTCATCTGTGTAGGCGGCGAGCGAAGGACAAGTAACAATCTGCGAACTGCGATGGAAGCCTACGATCTGCGATGGAAGCCTGCGATTTGCGATGAAAATCCTGCGATTTGGGAAATAAAATGCCGGCTGTAACGTGGACACGGTACCGCCGGGGCACGGTAGAGCTGGCTGTACCATGTAATTTACCTTCGTTGGCGTGAGAATGGAGAATAGGAGTATTATAGGACGAATATAGAGAACTTGCCCCTGTAATAAGTCTATATACTGTGTACCATGGGCACATGGCACTTGCAGCCATAGCCAACCGTGCTGCTCATCACTACCCTACGACGTCGTTTATCGCCCGTCTTCCTCTTAGCCTGATCTTCATTCGGTTAAAGACAACTGTTGTGATCAACAAACACACTCCCAGCACCAGCTTCAAGCGAATGGCTTCAACTAGCCCAATCTATGGCTCATCTCCGACCGTTCAGAAGACAGATTCTCCGTATGGCTCGTGGAAGTCCCCCATTACCGCCGACGTTGTCTCCGGCTCCACCAAGAAGCTCGGAGGCTTCGCCGTCGACTCACTCTGCCGCCTCATATGGCTCGAATCTCGACCTACTGGGTCTGGGTATAACCCGATATCGCATTATCTATCAGTATATTTTAGGCGATTCATCTCCTTATATGATATATGCGAATCAGATTGAGTTGTACTTAATTTGGATTTCATCATTACTCAGACGAGCGGTTCTTGTAAAGGGACCGGAGAGACCAGGGGATTCTCCGACGGATATAACTCCTAAAGACTATGCAGTGAGGACGGTAGCTCAAGAATATGGTGGTGGCGACTTTAGCATTTTTGGGGACACTGTGATTTTCTCCAATTACAAGGATCAGAGGCTTTACAAGCAGTCCATTTCTTCTCATGGTACATAAACGAATTTCACTATATATACTTAGGGTCCCTTGTGAACTTGGAAAATGCTAGGGAAAGACATTCAAAGAGAAAATCATACTCCCTAGAAGAAATTTGGAAGCAGAAGAAATGGGAAGGAAAATAAGACATTGGTTATAACTCATTAAAATTTATACTTCCCACTCTGACCATATTTTATATAGCGTATAAAATGAAGTGTTTTCAAAATTGTCATAAGGTATATAAAATGCAGTGTTTTTAAGATATCATCTTTATATTTTTTTTTATAAAATAATTAAACTTTTTATGGTCAAAATCGTTCATTGTTCATTCATAAAAGTGAAAGTCACACAGTTACAAAAACAAGAGTTAGTTAATGCTAAGAAATTTAGTTTACGGGAAAAATTAACCACATTTATTATATCCATTTTTCTTTCCATTTTCTGATATGAAGCCACACATAAGAAAATAACTTTTCTTTCATTTCTCTAGCATTCTCTGTGATCCAAAACACTGGTTTATTACACTGTAAATATGACTTGTGATTTGTAGATATCCGGATTCCTGATAATAATCATAAGGTTTGTAAAAAAATCCCCAACTTCCTCCCAGAAAAGCCTTCTATATGCTTAGGAATGGTATTGATGAACACCATCATATTAAAAATGCAAGCCTAATCGTAATGGCTGTTCAAATTTTTTCACCAACCATGGAGAAATAGATATTTCCATTGTAGGTTTGACAACTTACCTGATTTGCTATCCCCCCAAAAATGGCCACTTGCTAATATTGCTCATGTTGTTTCTCCCTCTCTTCTAATTTAACCACACAACTTTCATTTTCTTATTCTATATGCCAATTCACAAACCATTGAAGGATGAGTTTATTTAGCATCCAGTTTATGAAAATAATAAGAAGTGGTGTAGAGGTTGAGTCACTTGAGTGCTTAATTAGATACATAGTAGTCAATGGCTAGATATGGCGCGCGCCATATGCGCCATCGCCATGAAAAACTGGTCGTCGCCATAGTGCCATATGCACTTTATGCGCCATTCATATATGCGCCATCGCTATGCGCCATGAAAAATGCCTTTGAGCCATGGCGATCGCCGTGCGCCATGACCACTATGATTAGATATGCATTATGAAGTTTGTACAAATTACATAAGTTGTGTGTGCTACTTGACACAGAACCCCTACATGACAGTTCTGGTTTATTTCTCGATGATTCACAAAACAGTGATGGCAGTTGTCTAGCTGTAATTCCTTTGGTTCAGAGTTGCTTTTAGTTTTGATTTTTAACGCGCATAATTATTTTAATGTGGCTTTGATGGTTGCAGATTCTGCACCTACACCAATCACCCCAGACTACGGTGGGCCACAGGTGTGCTATGCTGACGGAGTCTTTGACTTGCGCTTTAATCGTTTTGTGACAGTAAGAGAAGGTTGTTATCCACTCACTTCTTTATGCATAGAATTCTATGTTACTTGTTTCTTGGAATTATTTTACAATGAGTTCATTTTTCTTTTCAACCTATCCTAGATTCACGCAAAAGCAGTACGAATTCACTGACAACAATTGTATCGGTTGATCTAAGCAGTGACACTATTCAAGGTGAGATCTTTTTCCATTAGCAATTTGTAACGGCTAGTCTTGTTTTGTGTTATATTCATGTATATTGTTTGGTTGGAGCTTGGGTATGAGGGGCTTCCCCTTTCCTCAACCTACCCAGTAGTTCACTACACACACAGGTGGAGGGAGGAATGATTAATTTCATCTTCGTCTTTACCCCATTGGACTTTACAGAACCAAAAGAGTTAGTTGGTGGGAATGACTTTTACGCTTTTCCCCGCGTCGACCCCGGAGGAGGACGTATAGCATGGATTGAATGGGGTCATCCAAATATGCCATGGGATAGATCACAGCTTTGGGTTGGCTATATATCAGATAATGGGTACACCATATATATTCTAAATAGCTGGTTTACTATTTTGATTATGTTATTGTTGTTATCATCATTACTATTATTATTACTACATATTATTTTACTTTATTATTATTATTATTATTATTATTATTATTATTATTATTATTATTATTATGATTTCATTTTTACTTTTTAACTGCATCTTCATATATTCATGAGTTATGCTCTATTAACATTTGCTGTTTCCAAAATTATTCTCTAGAGATGTTGGTAAACGTATTTGTGTAGCTGGAGGTGATGTCAATATCATTGAGTCTCCAACTGAACCCAAGTGGTCTTCCCAAGGTAACATATGCACCCTCCATAGTCCATACCACTATCCTAGTCATATTTTTCTATTTTTGAGCCATTCCAAAATGTTTGTCCCATTCAACGTTTGATCAATTTAAGCGACTCAAAATCATCCATACTTTAGAAACTCAATATGAACCTGACAGTTTCACTTTTCCTTAATCTGAGTGTCACATTCGCTTGTCCCAAACTTAGTGTGACAGAAAGAGTATTATATATAACTTCTAACACAATTCACAAACAAGGAAACAGGTGCTCTTAAAGAGCCTGTGAAAGGTACGTTCTCTTACTTTGCATATTTGCAAGTGCAGGAGAGCTGTACTTTGTAACCGACAGGAATAATGGGTTTTGGAATCTCTACAAATGGGTAAGTTTTATTAGCTTTACACACCCTTTTTGTATTTCACATGATTTCTTCTGCTATTTGGTTGAGTATTTCCAAAAACCTTATATAAAGTGTCTAAAGGCATTTTAATTTTAATGGTCTTACTTATGTTTGTATTTATTATTTATTGATGAACTTTGTTGCAACAGGTAGAATCCACTAATGAAGTGCTACCGATGTACACAATAGATGCAGAGTTTACAAGGCCTTTATGGAACTTTGGGGTACAATCTTACGAAGTTCTTCAGAATCATGACCAGAAAGCTATTATAGCATGTAGTTACAGGTTTCACATATATATATATATTGATTTATTAGCATAATGTTTTATTTTCTCGTGCTAGTTGCATTTGATTGTGAAAATATCTTCTTCCTCCCATTTCTCACCTCTTTCGCCATTTAATTTATAAACTCTTTGGATGAAAATGTGCAGACAGAATGGCAGGTCACACCTTGGAATTGTTGATGCTATTCAGGGAAAATTGACACTTCTTGGAATTCCTTTCACAGATATTAACAATGTTGTAAGTTTTGTGTTCCCGGATTGACATTTAAAGTCAGGATAGTTTGCATTGTCAATGTGTTAGTTAAGTCTTTTTCTGTGTGCAGACTTCTGGGGGTAATTGCCTATATGTTGAGGGAGCCTCTTCAGTCCTTCCTTTATCAATAGCTAAGGTGATTACCTTTTCACCTGCTTTTTAACTAAATACTACGTAATAGTTAACATCTTTGAAATAGTAATTGTTGATATTGGCATTTATTTACGCATACCTTCAGGTAACTTTGGACAGTCAAATGGAAAAAGTAACTGACTTCAAAATCATGTGGTCGTCTTCATCAATGAGTTTGCTTTATGAATCATACATCAGCATGCCTGAACAATTAGAGTTTCCAACTGGTGTTCCTGGACAAAATGCGTATGCATACTTTTATCCGCCGACAAACCCAGATTATCAAGCTGGGCAGGATGAAAAACCTCCACTACTGCTGAAAAGCCATGGTAGCTCTTTTTTATATTAGTAAGGATTTGTTTTAAAAATTATTATTTTAATTTGATTTTGCTGAATTTAAAATTTGTTAAATTAATATAGTGAAAATTCGCGAAATAGTAGTAAAAACAATGTAAAAATCCAAAACAGAAGTACTATGTCTTCCCCCCTAAATAGGAGTAATCAATGTTCTAAAAGGCACTAGGCGCTAGTCGGGCGCCAGCCCAACGCCTAGCGCCTAGGTGGCTAGGCGGGTGCCTAGTCGGGGACTAGTCGGAGACATAGAAATTGCATTTTTATCTATATTTTTGCATAAATATGATAAGTAATATTGTATTTGTGTGTGCATAAAATACATATATACAGATGCATTAACAAACATGAAAGATAGAATTATCACATTTAATCATACATAGTATATGATAACTAATCACTTAACTTCATTATGTTATAAATATAAATAATGATAAAATTTAGGTATATATACAAAATGTATAGTTTTATCTTAATTTACAACTTCAGTTCTTTATATCCATCGCTAAAGTTAAAGTACGTATATCGCTTGGAAAATTAAAATTAAAATTAAAAAGTAAAGTGATGTTCGGCGAATCTAGATAGCCTAGGCGGCTGATTAGGCGCTCTAGGCGGCTGATTAGGCGCTCTAGGCGGGCAACTAGACGCCATAGGCGGCCGACTAATTCACCAAGACGGCAAACCAATTAGTCGGAGCGCCTAGACGAAAATCGGGGCGCCCGGCAACCGCCTAGGCGGGGACTAGTCGGGCGCCTAGAACGATTTTTAGAACAGAGGGAGTAACCCACTGTCACGCACTCATGCTGAAATTTTAGTGCCATATTTTGGCATTACCAGGGTTTTACTATGGCGTTGTTTTTACTTTTTACTCCTATTTTGGTATAACCATGAAATGCATTTGGATATCTTCACTTCAATTTCTGGATATCTTCAGCCACCCAGCCACCCACAAATAAGGTGTCCTGTTTGTTTCACCACCTTGAGGTTTTCAAGTTGAAGGATATATTTAATGGTGCCATGGTGGGGTTGTGTTATGTTAGCACTTAGAATTATTGTTGAGCAGCAAGTTGAGTGTTTCATGACTGGATAATTATCTATCCTTATAATTAATTTTGAAATACTATTGCGTAGTGCATGAATTTTCATTTTTTGTCGCTAGTAGTGCATGACAAATAGCTTTGTTACATATTATTGCAGGAGGTCCTACAGATGAGACAAGAGGAAGTTTGAATCTGAGTATCCAATATTGGACCAGTCGTGGCTGGGCAGTTGTGGATGTGAATTATGGTGGAAGCACGGGTATGCACAAAGATGATTATATCTTTCCAGGATTCTTAGATGTAATACTAATATCTAATATTGCATTTTTGCGCATTATGGACTTCCAACTGTGTAAGAGCACATCTAATAGAATACATTGCCTGCAATAGAAAAACAATTTAATGTTTACTAGCTTATGTTTCCTCAAGGTATAACTAATTTGAAATTATTAGTCCTGATATGTTTAAAACATCTTTGTAATTTTAAACTTATCTCAACACATGGAAACATTTTTTTTTAAATATGCATTAAATTCAACAAAAAATGGCTTTTATATTTTTGCAACAGAACACATGCTTTCGAATGGCTTTTATGATGCTACTATATCTTAAAAAAAAATTCGAAAAGGGTCTTCAACCCAATGCATATTTCTTTTCTGATTTTTATCTTTGTTGGTTCTGGGTTGATTATGTAGGTTATGGTAGAGAGTACCGAGAGAGGCTTTTGAGGAATTGGGGAGTTGTTGACGTTAATGATTGTTGCAGTTGTGCCAAGTTTTTGGTAATATCATCTTTCTTGCCGCTGTTCTGTGTATCTTGATACATATTTGAGATTTTATGACAACTGAAAGATCAGCAGTATATGTGATTGTTTAACATTTCAAATACCATTTATGCATTGGTAAAACATTCTATTTATCAAGATATAATCTATGTCCTCCAAATCCTTCCCATTATTGAATCATCACCCAAACAGACCCTTAAATTTCTTGATGGATTGCAAATAATTATTTGTTTTACATACAGGTTGATAGTGGAAGGGTTGATGGCAAACGGTTATGTATCACAGGAAGTTCTGCAGGAGGTTATACCACATTAGCATCACTTGCATTCAGAGATGTATTCAAAGCCGGTTGTTCTTTATATGGCGTGAGTTGTACTTATACACATCTGTTATCAATTGTTATTAGAAAATCACATTTCTCTTTCTTGAATCTTGATTTTCTTTCTTTTTTCATTGCGCAGATAGGTGACCTGAAATTGCTGATAGCTGAAATGCCCAAGTTTGAATCTCACTACATCCACAATCTTGTTGGTAATGATTTAAGTTAGAGTTGACGAGTCTACTACTAAACTCCCACCCTCTTAACCGATATGAGATCTATCTGATATGAAAACTTTAAACAATCACAGGAGATGAAAAAGCATTCTTTGACAGATCTCCTATCAATTTTGTGGACAAGTTTTCATGCCCCATGATTTTATTTCAAGGATTGGATGACAAGGTATGCACCTAGTTCATGATTTTGGGGCAATTCTTTTTCTGTTTTTTAGGTAGATAATCTTACAGTCAAGTTTTAGTATTTCAGGTGAATGTATACATGCAAAGAAGACATCATTTTTGCTATTACCAAAATTGAAATTTTGATCTATGGTTCCCTAAGCCTTTATTTGGTATTTTGGTACAAACGATGGGAGGGGGGGGGGGGGGAATGGGTATGGGGTAGGGAAATGGTTACGTTGGTTCATAGAGGAGTTTATAACTCCTCCACTTTCATCCCTTAGTTTAGCCATTCAACACCCGCCAAACAAAGTTACAAACAAAGTCCATATATGTTTACCTTTTAGATGGTATCATAAATGTTAGTATAATGTCAAAGTTCACTAAACTCCAATGAACAATTTGCTGTTGGTAAGACTAAGAAACTAGTACACCAACTTCAAGAGTGGTCTGTTTTTTTTGTGCCATGTTATGCCATCCCACAGCGGCCATACTCCATCCCCAGACTCCTACAACACTTCTACTTTTTTTGCCTTCTCTGCAATGCCATCCAACTAAGCAAGGACTGCCTTTTGTTCCAATTATCATATTTCAACAGCCTTCTGAAGATTTAAGAATGTATAGAGACAACATAACTTGCACAAGTAAACACATTTTTCAATGGGGGACGTACGATGTTAAATTTCTTGGACCAACATCGTGTTACAGGTTGTACCACCAGATCAAGCGCGGAAAATATACGAGGCAGTGAAGGCAAAAGGGTTACCTGTTGCTCTTGTAGAGTATGAAGGAGAACAACATGGCTTCCGCAAGGCTGAAAATATCAAGTTCACTCTTGAACAGCAAATGCTCTTCTTTGCACGTCTTGTCGGACACTTTCAACTTGCTGATCCAATCACATCCATAAAGATTGATAATTTCGACTGAGTATTGTGTTACTACTTGCTCAATCAATATAAAAGTATAATATTAATAGCAATATTTACTATTTCATGCTCTTGAAAAATTGTAATCCAGATTTTGACTATTAAAGACTCTTGAGTTGCTGATTTAACTATTTCCATTTAACTGATTTAACCCACTTACCCACCTTTTCCATGTTGCTAAGGACTTATTGGTTTAATCATTAATCGAGCTTGTTTGATAATATTGAAACTGACTATGTTGAAATTTATGAAGTTTTGGTTGAAGCGACTGAATTGGTTGATTTTGCTGAATTATACAAAATTATAGCTAAAAATAAATGTTTTCTATTAGAAAAATAAGATAAAGAAAAAATTGTATGAGAGAATAGGTAAAATAACCATCTACAATAATTTCAATCAATCTAGTCCGAAAAATAATTCAATTTTATTTATTTTGATTATCACACAACTTAGTGTGTTAATAAAAAAATTGCATATTTGGTGAAAAAGTTTTTTTAAATCATAAAAGAGCGGCTATTATATTAAAATTGAGAACAAATACAAGACAACCTTCAGACAAAAATTACAGATCCAATTGTGAACTCTAGGAGTAGATTTAGAGTCAACCACCTCATACAAAACATCATGACTTGCTAGACCTGAAACGAGCAAATTTAGGTCTAAAACGATCGGAACCGAAACTTTGCCTATCAAAAAAACTCCAAAACGCCCAACATTCAAATCAAATCTACTTGGACCAAAACAGAAACAAGTGCTACTACAGAGAAAATAATACTGAAATAAAATCTTTCTACAAAGCTCTTCCTAGTATGGAGGTGATTTTGGAGGAGGGCGAGCTCTTACAATATGAGTGAATACCAACTCCACCACAGTCGGAATGGCCGATCAAGACTTCACGATTCGCCTCGATACAACCCTCCTAGCTGCACCTCGTTCATCCGCCAACGCTATCTCCTCCGACATAGTTGCAATAATCCCAAGCGTTAGAACACCTAAAATAAGTATAATCTGTCGATCCAACCACATATTGATAGGGGCCGACAGAAAATTTCAACCCCTACAAAAAGGGGAGACGGCCGTTAGGGTTCTTCCCCCTCTAGAAAGAAGAGAGAATCATACTAAAACGTCATGTAATTAAAAAGGATGTACAAGATTGTGCCAACTATCGACTATCGAGGGATTAAGCTTATGAGTCACACCATGAAACTTTGGGAGCGAGTGATTGAGTACAGTCTTCGAAGAACTGTGAAGATTTCAGAGAATCAATTCGGTTTTATGCCTGGTCGCTCAACAACTAAGGCCATTCACCTTTTTCGGCAACTTATGGAGAAGTATAGAGATGCTCACAAGGATCTGCATTTGGTGTTCATTAACTTAGAAAAGGCTTATGATAGGGTACCTCGAGAAGTTCTTTGGTGAGCCTTAACTAGAAAAGGCATATCATGCAAGTATATCAACATCATCATGGATATGTATGAGGATTGTACTACAAGTGTTCGTACTAGTGTAGGGAGGACTGCAGAGTTTCCTATTACTATTGGAGTCCACCAAGGATCGGCTTTGGGCCCTTTCTTATTTGCCATAGTCATGGATGAACTTACGAAGTCAATTCAAGACGAAATACCGTGGTGCATGATGTTTGCCGACGATATTGTATTGATTGATGAGACGCAATCAGGTCTTAAAGCAAAGTTGGAAATATGGCAAGAAACATTGGAGAACAAGGGTTTTAGCCGAAGCCGAAGCAAGACAGAGTACATGGAGTGCATGTTTGGTGGAGGTAGAAGCAGTGGTAATAGCGGAATTACTCTAGATGGTAAGGAGATACCGGTCAGCGATATGTTCTGTTACTTGGACTCCATAATTCAGAAGGACAGTGAGTTAGATGGAGATGTATTCCATAGAATCAGAACAGGGTGGATGAAGTGGAAGAGTGCGTTAGGATTTCTATGCGATAGAGGTATGCCGACTAGACTGAAAGGTAAGTTTTATAGGACATCAATTAGGCTGCATTAATGTATGGCGTAGAGTGTTGGGCGGTGAAACAATGTCACATTCAAAAGATGAGTGTGGCGGAGTTGCGCATGCTGCGTTGGATGTGTGGGTATACTAGGAAGGACCACGTGAGGAATGAGACTATCAGACAAAGGGTGGAAGTAGCACCTATTGAAGATAAGATGCGGGAGTCGCGCCTACGGTGGTTTGGTCATGTGCGTAGAAGAACGAGTGGTGCACCTGTCAGACGAGTTGAGATGTGTGGATAAGAGGCAGGGAAGAGAGGGAGAGGAAGGCCCAAAGTGCCCCAAACAGACGTGGGTTAGGGAAGTCCGAAGTGATATGCTTCTTCTTGGGTTAGATGAGGGTATGACTTTGGAGAAAGCAAAGTGGAGGGTGAATATTCGTGTGGAGGAGTGATCTCGTATTATCTTTTCCCCTCTTTTTCTTGTTTTTCAAATCCTTTTATCCTTATATATAAACATTATTTTTCTCCTTTTTATTTTATCATTTTTAGGTATATTCATCTCTTTTTATATTATCCTTTTCATAATATGTTAATAGCTTATCTTTTTTTATCTTTATTTTCTTTCTTTTCCTTTTGATGGTGATATCATGTATCGATTCATGTTGGCCGACCTCAATATCTTTTAGGACTAAGACTTAAATGTTGTTATTGTATTTGATGAAAAAGTTGATCAATAACATTAATACGTTGAAAAACATGGTTACAGAATGAAATTTATATATGGTTGAATTTGTATTTATTACTACGGAGTACTATTTAAAAGACAATAACACCTTCTCCCCAACAAATATGAAGTTTTTTTTATAAAAAAGAAAAAAATTGGTGACACCATGAAGAATGTTCGTAGGAAAGTCGAAATATGGCTTAGGTCACTTCTAGAAGTTGACATCCAAAATTTATTCGCACATTTTTTGGTGCCACTGCTGAAACAAACAGGGAAACGTATGGAGTTGGGTTTTGTTTCAGCTGCTGATCGATTTTGTTGACTAGAAACGGCTCTGTACACTTGTCTACCGTTCCACGCAGCCAGATGAAATCCCGACAAAGCATCACTAATTCACGGTCTGCTGGCAATAGCTTCTGCTTTTTAAAAAGTACTTTCTTTAATGAAACGGAGATTAAATAAAAGTTGATAGTGTTTGAGAAAAAAGTGATTTTGAAAAGTAAAAGTGGATAGTGTTTGATAAAATAAGTGCTTTTTGTGTAATAAAAAAAGTAAAAGCACTTTTGACGCGGAAGCCGAGAAAAATAAAAGTTGTAGTGTTTGGGAAAATAAGTGCTTTTTAAAGCCAAAAGCTGAGAAATGCTTTTTTAAAAGGAGTTGCAAACCAACCCTATACCGTATTGACCATTATATTTAGGTTGAGTCTTGCGTTTCATTAACAAGTGATTTATTTTAGAAATTAGAGAAATTCTTATGAGTGTACTCTATAATTTGTGGTGAGTTTTTTATCTGTGGAGTTTTAGTTTATATTTTTTAAATTCTTAAACTTTTTATGAATGAATATCATTGATAAATTTATGGATTTCATTCGAAAGATATTTATCAGTGTTATGCAAGCAGAAAATTAAACAAGAACAATATTATATTATTATCTAACACTCATAAGTCTACATATCATAAGCGGTCCAATATGTTATTTCACAGTACAAAATGATAAGCAATTAGAAAGAATCTAAACAATATAATACAAATGTAATTCATCTAATGATAAAAAGTTTTGCAAACACAACTCATCAAGTGTAAGCATCTAGGTTTCTCTTTATCAATGAACTCAAATATATGCAATCACTACCAATATAATTCATTATTAATGTGAAGCTCACTCTATCAAAATACAGGTATAGAAGATAAACCTAAATAAAAACCCAAATATATGATTTTACTTATCATTTTACGAAGACAAAAGAGCATCAATTTGCAACTTGTTTCACAATTTTATTTACATCAGCAACTACGACTTAATAGAGCAAACGTTCAGAAGTATAATGATTTTCTTATTAATTTTAAAATATTCTACATAAAGAATTACATCATCTCTGATTCTTCAATCGATCACTATAAATAAAGAGAATTTGAAGGCATTTTTTGCAAAAGCGTAAGTCGCCTTGTTCTAAGAAAACATATACTTCGTATACGAAGTATTATTGATTTTCAAATTTTATGTTAATGTTTTTTTTTTGTTAATGCTTGTTCTAAGAGAATACTTGTATTATTAAATGTAAAATTGTATCTCCATACATTCATGCATTGATGATTTTACTATTAATTTCAACTTTGTATACCATGGTGAAGGAGTGTTCATATTTTATTTAGAGTAAAATAATAAAATTCAAGCTTTAATTTGCAAAAACCTTGCATAGAGAAACCGACCTCATACCCATTTCGCATGTTCATTTGGACGTAAATTTGATGACCTTAAATTAGTAAGAGAATTTAATTAGCGTGTTTGACATTTTAGTTTGAAGCGAAGAATAGAAAAAATGAAAACAGTTTTAAATACAAGCTTTATGTTTATGGCTTTTAACCGTTAGGAGTTTTATCATTGGAAGTATATATTTGGAACACTGAGAGCTCGTTTAATAGCACTGAAATTGGCTATTCTCCTTAAATTTATGAAGTTTTGGCTAAATTAGTTGTATTGGCTAATTATGCTCATATATGAAAAAATTATATGAAAAATAACTAAAATGATCATCTATAGCAACTTCAGCAAATATAATAAAAAAAATTAACTCCAACCTCACTTTTTCTTATTATTACACAATTCAGCGCGCAAAATAAAAAATTACGTATGTGTAATAAAAAAGTTGGTTGATAAGTGTGATAAGCAAAAAAACAATGCCACTAAACGGGTTCTGGTTTAGCTTTTTGGAGCTAAATAAGTGAAGTTATATTTAATTTTCTGACTGAATAGACTGAAATAGTTGAACCCACCAATCTAGCTCATCATAACATGCGAATGTGTGCGAGTCGGGCTGAATCTATATATATTCTCATAATCGTAAGTCATTACAATATTACCAAGTATTACTCCTTATGTCCCGTTGGAATTGTTCTATCTTCTTTTCGACCTGTCCCACTAAGATTGAATTATATTCCCTCCGTCCCTCAATACTCTGTCATGTTTGACCGGTACGGAAAATAATAAAATAAAAACTGTGTGATTGAGATATGTGCAGAGGAGATAGA